CAGCCCACAGCCCGCACCCCGAACCGGCACCGGCGGCGTCCCGCTCCTGCCCGGGGATGCTCTGCATGTTTCCCCAGGTCAACAACTCAATAAACGTCACATGAAACAGTTTCCTCCAAGAGAACTTACAGAGGCAGGATTGACCTGTAGGGTGGAAACCTGGCAGGGGGTTTCTCTCTGATGTAGTTCTTATAATCTAAGATACTGACATCAAATACAGGAAAAGTTGGTCCGGTATGAAAGTTAGACTTCAGCTACAAATTTTCTTTTAAGTTCTTCTGCGTTCACTGGAGATCTGCGTTTGCACGGTACAAAAGAAGATAACGTTTTGTTTATACAAAGGATTTATTTTATACACATTTACCTACAAAATATACAGCAGTTAAAAATAATGCGTGGGCAGAACCATTACTGGAAAAAAAATCCAGAAGACAATTCTTAATGTCTTAACTGACAAAGTTACATCAATAGGCTGCCTTTAAAAGCCAGTCTACCCTGTAGTAGGAGTTACTGAAGTTGCAAGAGCTTTGCAGTTAGAGTCAATTTAAGGAGTTCAAAACAATTAAAAAGGCACCTTGAACAACTTAAACTTAAAACTTTATAGTTTTAGCTATTCAAAAGTTACACTTTAAGCATATTTCATCCACACCTCGTTGTTAACACTCTGAATAACGATTTTTGTTATTTTCTTGTGGCACTCTTTATATTTTCTTTACCAAATCTGAAGTTATTACATTTGCAATACTATTTTCATGTTCTGACTATCACAGCATAAAAATCCCCTCAGAATGTTCGGGTGGACTTTAGATACAGTACAACCTTGCAATCAGGAAGATACAAGCATGTTTAAGACAACTTTTAAAATATTAAAATCTTAAAATAGCAGTGTTTTGAACCAGATCAAACAAGGAACTATGTATGACCACAAGGAAAGTGGCTGGTGCACTATATACACAACTCGACAAATGTGATCCTTGATATATTTGTGAAGTTCTTAAACAGTAAGACCAGTTTTCTCCAGCACAGACAGACCGTCTTCTGTGAGCCTTTTAACCAGTTCCAAAAAGAGTGACCAGGAGACAAGGACAGCTGTAATGAGGAAGTGTGCTAATAAAACATCAGGAGACTGGGAAGTGTTCCTCTCAATACGGTTCACGGGAACAAAGGAATCCATAAAGCAAATATTACTTCTTTTCCTGAACATTGGCATTGGTGTGCTATTTACAATAGCTTACAAAGACATGTAACACAAATGAGGTTTCATTTTCAAGTTCAACTTCATTGCCGATTAACATACTTCACTTGTATGTTCTGTTCTAGCTGAAGTAAAAAAGTGAGACTAATACTGAAAAAGAGGTAATCAGAAGTAGCAAAAGCACTGATAATGTGATAACAAAGAATTTGGATAAATATTCAAGAAAGGAATATTGCACACTTTCACTGTCAACTGTGTTAAGACTTTCACTCCCAGGCAGTGACAACCAGTCCCATTTGTTTTTTTGCTGTCATACTACCTTAAAAAAGGTCATTTTTGGTTTCCATGGCAGTGGAAAAAACTGAAGGAAGACAGCCCTTATTGAACATGAGGCCTAGGTTTCAATATTAATTTTCCAGTCTGCAAGAGAGACAAAAAAAAAAAAAGAGTTTAAACCCTGAAAGTTGAGCCCAACAATTGCATTTCAAGTTCAATATTACAGGCTGACTTTAAAACAACACAGAGAACGATACTGAGCATTTCACATTCCAGTGTTACAGGCGCACAGAATTTGTTGAGGTGCATACAAATGCTGTTCAGAAAAAAACTCGTGTGTCTTTTTTGAATTGTTTGCCTTTTTTTTTTATACAAACAAGGTTTAGGCAATGAACCACCAACACTTACATCATCACAGGACATGTTATATTCTGCCAAAACAGTTCGACATCGGGCTGCTATACTGTGTGGATTGTGTCAAGGAAAGCAGCTAACACTTGCACACAGAGTAAGTAAAAACTGAAACAGCAGCATTAGCACAGACTTCAAGAACAGAAGTAACTACAACACTTGTAACTTGACAAACACAATTAAAGGATACATTGATGGTGCCACCACTCTTTTATGTATTCCAGCAAAGAACAAGCCTATTAGGGTAATACAGCTAATTGTGAAAAACGGGTGATTCCAAAGTGATGTGAAAAACGACACCTAGGAAAGAAATCGGATTAGTCTCACTATATACTTTCTAAAACATACAGAAAGTTGCTGCCTAGTTCTCTTAACTAAAAATAAAACACTGCTCCTAGCCCTCTCGAAGTAGTTGTGAACAATTCTTCGTATCAGCACTCAAGGTGTACCATTTCATAGGCAATGCCCCAGGACACATTCCACAACAATTCCAGACAGCTTGAGAGCTTTACTAAAAACTATCTTCCAGTTTCACATAAGAACCAGCCTTTCAGTTTTCAATATACCACTTGACTGCAGCACCAAGCTAAGAAACAGAAAACATTCAGCATTAGCCTGATCTTACCTTCTGTGTCTCTGGGTCTATTAACCAGTTCCAAGCCCCAGTTGCTGTGCAAACTGATACCACTATCAGAATCACTGATGAAGAAAAGAACAAGAGTCATAAACAGTATACCTCACTCATATTTAAAAGCATTTATTTTTCAGCAGCAACTTTTAAGCTTGTATTTCTTTTCCTACTTCTGCATGAGAAAAAGCTTCTAATTGGAGGCAGAAATGAAAATAGGTGAAAAAACTACCAGCAAGCGAAACTGTAAAGATTCTGTACAAGTTGGTACCAAAATCTAAATTGTCATGCAGAAATATCCCAATCCTTGAAGAAACCAAAGTTTCTAAAAAAAACGTGGATATTAAAAGCATGAGTTGGTAAGTAAAGTAAGATTTGTACCAAAAGTTCACTTTGCTATTTGAGCTAGTGCACTTTGGGCAACAGGAATGCAGAACCATCCAACTGCAGAGCAGAGCTAAAGTTTCTCTCCCCCAAGCTCATCTGCATAAGGAAAGCCTGAGGCAGTTTCAGTGGCACAAGTTGTGTTCCTCTCCCCATCCCAATCGACACAATCACAAGCAAGGAAGAGGCAAAAAAAACCAAACAGGAGTCAGGAAGCATGTTAACATTAGCACATGAATATTAGCAAAAACCTCTACATATCCAGAATGGCTTAGGAAAAATAATCAATTCACTGTAAATGAATAATACTAGATACATATCAGACTAACACAGCATCCTGGACTGATTTTGAGAGACTACAAAGGGGGTTGATGGAAAAAGAAAACAGAACAAATATAAATGTAGAGAAACCTCATATTATATTGCACATCCATGAAGCCTTGCAGCTTTCATCACAGTACTTTCTGTGGAGCCTGAAGCTCTGGATGCAAATAAAGTTTTTACTGGAAAGGAAGTGGGCAGGGCAGGGTAAAAAACGAAAGCCAACAAATCAAACCACACCAAAAAAAAAGGAAGAGAAGGCCCAGAATTACCAGCCTTTAGGATCATAGGAAAGAACCTGGAAACAAAACCCAAATATTCACTAAATACTACTTTTAGGTTTGCAAGACTGCTATAATTTGCTATTGAGTTGCATATTCCTTGCAGATATTACAAATTTTAAAAAAATAGGAACTCTGACAAGTTAAGTTTTCAAAAGAAAGTTGAAAAAGATCTATCAAAAGCACAAAGCTTCTCTACAAAACACATTTTTTTCAGAATAACAGGAAGAAAAGTAAACATTGAAGTTAAATACCCTGTTACAATTTAAGTAGAAAGTTCCTCTTTTATGGGAACTGCAAAATTAAGAAAATGAGTAGTTTGGGAAAAAACATGAATTACAATTGAATACAACACTAGTTATGCAAACCTCATTTAAATATGCCTAGAAGTTTTCAGTATTTTTTTTAATTATATCTGACAGCAAATAACAATTCTGGAAGCCAAATGCATTCCTACAGTAGGTATGCACAAGTTTGGCAGATGTACATATAAATATCTTCCTGCCTCCTGATTGCTCTGAAACAAGGGAGCTTGTAGTGGCGGTAGTGGTGTTTGGTTTTGCTTTCTAAGTAGTCATTCCTTCATTCAAAATTGACCTCTCAGGAGAAAAGATGCTATTTTATATGTGCTAAAAAACATCAGTATTCTTTGAGTAGGGAAACTTCAGCAGAACCTCACAACAAAAAAAGTTGGCTGTTTCCACCACAGACTACTGATTCAGAAGTTGGCAGCATATCTGTGGTATCTTTTGACCTTCCTCCTCCTTCAAACATCCCTGTCAGAACAGAGCTGAAGACATATGCTGCCTTTATGGCACACTGCTGTAACTTTTTCACCTTCAGTTTTATAGGGACTATCTCACTTACATAAACCATACTTAGTTTATGTAACTACAGTGACTATCAGAGAAGTCTGAGTCTCAAAAAAAAAAGCCCAAAACAACATAAAAACCAGAATAAAACAGAAAAAATCCCCCACAACAACTTACTGTTCCAACTATTTCCAGAATAATTCAGCCTTAAACCAATTCAATTTTAACCTCATTTTTCTAACTCTGGCTGAAGTATTAGTTTATTATCCTGTATTACTTGTTGCAGTCTATGCAATGTATGCCACAAATTTTAAAGAAAACTTAAATAGAGATTTTTGTTTGGGCAAACTTAAATCAGAGGTACACACTGGTAAATCTAAAAAGCTTAAAAGACAGAATCTTATTTATCCTTTGGAACATTAAACTTACTTCTCCAACGTCCTGTAGCTGGTTGCAAACATGCAATATATTCAGTAAGTCTTCTTTCAAAAGCTTTGAGATCTGGGGAGGATGTATATTAACCATAATTAGATCTTCATCTATTTAGTCACATTTTAATGTAAAAGATGAAAGGAATTCACTTTTCCCCTGTGCATATCCACTTAAACAGGCAGAGAAAACCAATACAATGATAATTTAGATGCAATAAAAGCCCAGGCAAAGTAGTTTTGCTCAACTTCAGGTAAAAAGTACAGTGACAGAGTTAAACTAAATGCAAGAAACATTCCCACTTACAAAAAAGAAAATCAATATAGATGGGAAATCAGACTATTTCAGACATTTTTAAAAACACTGAGAGTTAGATTCTAAATAACTAAGTATTACATTTTGGACTATTAAGTACATCAGGAAACCATTATGTTCTATTATCTATGTTACAGCAGTTTTAAAAAAAGGTTAGCCATTTGCCAGCTGTTCAAGGGATTATTTGTAGCAGTGTGGCTTTGATGACTTTGTTTTGTAGAAACGTTGAATGCCCTGATATACACATACACATATATGCAAAAAACCCCACAGCAAACACTAACCTGACGATCTCAGTTTAATTCACTTTTTCTTTAAACAGATCTTTCTTCTTACTGCCATCGTTCTCCTATAATCTTTTCACTGAAATTGCTCTTAAATGCATTTCAAGTTCATAATCCTAATTCCTTTTTAAAAAAATCTTGGCCTCCCAATGTGTGTCAAAAAGGAGCTGTTTCACCTCAAGTCCAGGTTAGATTTACACTTCTGTTGAACAAGGTCGATATTTGACAACATTCCAGTCAAACTTAGAATTTTACCTGGAGTTAAGTTTTAATTAACATCAACTTAACTTTCCACTAAAGTCTCCATCAGCATCACTGTGGAACTTCAGCTTGCAACTACTGCTAAATTAGTTACCATAATTAAGCAAACAGAGAATAAGACTGGAAGAAGTGTTGCTATTATGATCATTACTAATGCAGTTTTCTAAACCTGAATTTAATCCTAAGTGGTTTGCAGGTGAATTCATGGGTGAAGATCACAATACCTTGACTTCAGCCACAGAACAGCTGACTAGTCTTAATTACCGCCAAGAGCCCGGTAGTTATGGCCTGTCCTCCACCTCCCTTCTGGGGAAGCTAAACCACTGCCAGCAATTAAAGCTAATTAACTGTTCCCTGACTAGTATGAGCCCCTGCACCTAGTCACTGAAGTGAAAGGGGGAACAGGAGGCAGCACATGAAAACCTGCTCTTAAAGTAGGAGAACCCTGTAGGCATAAAATCAGGCTACTGACCACAAAGCTCTCAAGGAAACACTTGCATATTGCAGACATCACTAAAATAAAAAATTAAAAAACTCTTTCAGAAAACAGGAAATTCAAGTTTTAACTTATTTTTGTTTATTATCTGTGAGTTGATCCCTTTGGCAGCTGTGACCAGCAGGGCTCACTTCTGGGATCCCTCAGCTTGTGCAGACATGGCAACAAAGCCCTGACAACGCCGGACTATCGGTTCCTGCCGACATGTCAGCCACAAAACACCCGCACTGATGCGTTTCTAAAATCCGTCCCAGCCGTATTTTTGGACGCTAAAAACTCCTTTCAGGATTTTGACATCCTGCAAGCTGCAACTTCAAAGCCCGTGTAACCGAGACCATCAATGTCCTCGGATAAGAAAGGGCTATTTTGACGTCGCGTTCTTCAAGCACAGCGTGGGACTCGGAGCTGTAAGAAACGCGCCTCACGCACAAACCCGTGGGTTTACCACAGCACAAGCGGATTTTAATAAGCCACAGCCGAGCAGTGGCAGGGAAAGAGAAGCAGGTCCCTCCTCCCCAGGGCCGGCAGGAGCCCCCGGCAGGCCGCCCGCGCCGCCTCCGCGGGGAGGCAGCACAGCCGCCCCGAGCGCAGGATGCGGAGGAAGCCCCGGACCGCCAGCTCGCCTGTCTGGGCCGAGGAGCAGCGCCGGGAGCGCGGTGCAGAGGGAGCCGAGGCCTCCCGCGGCCGCTTCGCCCCGCTCCGCGGGGACGGCGCAAGCGCGCCCGGGCAGCCCGGCCGGTGGAGCCGGGAGCTCCCGGCGCGCCGGAGAAGCAGCTGCGGGGTCGCTCGTGCGGCCGCACTCACCTCTGCCGGTCCAGGGAGTTCATGGCGGGCGGGCGGAGCGGCAGCAACCGGGCGGAGCACCGAGCACCGCCGAACGCCGCGCCCCGCCCGCCGGCCCGGCCCCAACAACGCCCCGCGCCACTCGCCCGCCGCGCCGCCGCAGCAAGCGCGGCCGCAAAATTGGCTGCGCGCGGGAGGGGGCGCGGCCCCGGCCCGCTGAGGGCGCACGGGCGGCTTTGTTGGGCTTCGTTTGTTACACGGCGTGTCCGCCTTGTTTCTGTTTGTCACATCCCGACACTCTCGGGTCGGTTGAGCGGGCTGTTCCGCATGTGCAACTTGGCGGAAATAAAAGCTAGAAAAGAAGATACAATGTTCTTTTTGTTTGTTTGTTTGTTTGTTATTTTCCATACAGCCCCGGGTCAACCTCTGCGCTTGTTCATTCAGGTTTTTTTTCTACACACCTTCCCCTTACAGTCACCATCCAGCGCTCCGGCACGGCCGGGCTGCTCAGCCGTGTTTTGGAAGCAGGTCCAGCAAAAGTGACCTCTAATCTCAGCAGGGCCGGGCAAAGCTCTTGAAGGCTGCTGACAAGCGTGAGCGCTGGGATAAATCTTTCACAAATGCAATTTAAATACTTCAGGCTTTCTGTGCAAGAAGAGGGCACTGGGGCAGGAAGGGCCGGAGGGGGATGCTGCCCGCAGGCTTTGTACCCACACGGTGCCCAAATTGTGTGGGCGACCAGATTCATTTCACCTCCACGCAGCCCTGAGAAGCTGGTGTTGAAGGTATTAACCCCAGCCACAGACAAAGTTGGGTCCCCTCAGCCCCAGCAAGGCAGGGTGGCAGCCAGCAAGTGCCCGGGGAGCATCAGGATGCTGGTCCAGAGCCAGCCACACTCTCAGTTCAACTCCTGGTGTTTCCTTCAGCAGGAGGGAGGTGAGACCTTTGGAAAGGAGCTTGAAGGAGGTGAGGAAAGGCCCAGGTACAGCCCTATCCCTGCTAAGCAATGCCAGTGCAGAGGTCAGCAGTGTGGTACGGGCCAGCAGCAGCAGCAATGCCGGGCACCAGCACAACTGACCACCCACCATGAGCTGCAGAAAGCCCAGAGAACAGCAAAAGCCATAAGCACCTTAAAAACATCACCTAGGAAGCCAGGTTTAGTGGTGTGACTGTATTTGGTCTACAGGACGAGAAGCTTGGGGAGGACATGCTTACAATCTCCCTGGAGGTAAAAGGTTTTGCAAAGGGGAGCGATCCAGTGCTGCAGGTCCAGGGCAAGGTTTTTGCACCCTGACAAAGCCGCAGGGGAGATTGGAGCCTGGCATTGAGGAAGAACTTTTCCATGAGAAATGAAGGAACAAGCCATCTCCAGAGATGGCTGGTGGGAGTAGGGCAGGCAGGTGCAGTAACGTGTGGCAGAAAGTTCTGTGTGTTTTGCCCAGTTTTTGTTGGCCCGAGCATGAGGCTCATGAGCCTGACAGTGTCCAGACTCTCCAGGGGCATGTGGGGCCAGTATCTCTGTCAGTAGAAGGGGTGTGAGGTGCTTCCACATGTCACCCATTACCCCTCACCCCTCGGGTTTATTGCTGCATCCCTCGGTGTGGCACCAGGGGATGGCCTTTGGATGGGGACAGCAACAGTGGCATGTCGGTCGTGCCCCTGCCGGACCCCGCTCATCCCGGCTGTGCCCCGGCGTAGCGATCACGCAGGGGATGGCAACAGCCAAAATTCTGATCGGTCATCCAAGAGCAGTGCAGAAAGGTTGGGTTTCTCTGTCGGTTGTCAGTGTCCCGTTGGACGTACAGAGATCGACCACCATGATCCCACAGCCCTGCCTGCCGCTGTCCCAGCTGGGGTGCAGAGTTAACTGAACTGCTCTGTTTGCTAAATGAAAGCTTTTCGAGTTACGGAGGGACTCGATTAGTGAGCTCTCCAGGGACCGGGGCTCTCTGTGCTGCCATCTGTTTTCAGCTAACCGGTACTGGAGCCTGGATTGTATTTTGTGGTCCAGTAAGAATTTTGTGTTGCTCAGAGCAGAGAGCTGCAGTGCTCTCAGGGATGGGATGTGGTGTCATTTCTCTCCTTCTGGGGGACATGGGCAGGGCATTAGTTTTTTTAAAGGGACCTTGGAAATTTGTGAAAATATGACGTCATTTTACTCTCACTGGTTTTAAGTGTCATCACAAAAAAAATTATGTTTTCCAGAAAGTTGTAAGTTACTTTTGCTTTGGTGATAGTCCACCGAATGTAGATGGTGACCTAATATTTTCTTAAGAGTGTTTGAATCCAGCTTATTATAGTTTTGCCTAGTTAGTTTACACCAGTTTTGCCAGTGTAAAAACCAGAAGAAACACTACACTGGTGGTGGTAGGAATTCTGTCAGCTACATGGAAAGGCTGAACACCTCAGTGGTGTTTTTTTCTGGCTGTTGATAGAGACTATAGCAGATATTAGCACTAGAATATTTCACTGAATCAGTCTGGGAAGTGGGTCTTCCTTACTACAACTGTACTCTTGCAGTTGGTAGAACCTTAAATTAATGAGACCCCAAAAAGCTGGATGCTACTCTGAAAAGTGGTGTGCTATGCATAGCCCTTGGAGATTTCCAGTATCCTGAAAGGATGAAAGTTGTGATTTGCATTATTTATACTTCTGTGAGCTTGCTGATGCGCAGATCTTCTCTGATCTTTTATATTGCTAGGTTTACTTCTGAGCAGATACAGGTATCTTAAAGCTGGGTTTTATTCAAACTTTGATGATTTGTGACACTTAAAGGCTGAACCAACACCAGGAAAAAAATTCCAAGAGCTATAACCCTTGAAATGCTTAAGTAAATAAGTAAATAATTTCTTTATTGTTTGTAATATAAAACTTATTGGACAGTTCAAAATGTTTTTTTTTTTTCCGAGTAGCTTTTACTCTCTTCTGTAAAATTCT